GAGGAGAGAGGGAGGGGTGGGGGAGGACCCTCTAGCAGGCTCTGGCACTAACCTAGGAGTGGTTGGTAGAGAGCAAGGGGTGAAAAGGGGTTGCATCTGTGGACAGTCTTAACACATGCTTGAGGATTCTGAGAGATTGGAGGGCAGACACTGGATCAGATGTGGGGACAGGCCCAGAGTTGAAAGCCACTTAATAATGGACTCTGGAGACCCGGGTTCCTGGTTCAGAATCCAGGGCTCCTTCCACTGCCCCAGCTGCCAGTCCTCCCTCCCTCTGCCTGCTGGACCCTTCACCGTGCCCCGCAACCCCCACTCAGCCGTGCGCTTGCCCTCCTTCCCACAGGTGAACATAGACCACGAGACCAGAGAGCTGACCAGGACCAACCTGCAGGCTGCCACGGCCACGTGCTTCGATGTGGCTCAGGGGAAGACACGCACCCTGATGGAGAAGGACTCCTATCCGCGCTTCCTGAAGTCACCCGCTTACCAGGACCTGGCTGCCCAGGCCTCGGCCACCAACGCCTCTCCGTCCAGCTGCAGCTCAGCCGAGCCCTCACACACCTGAGCCTCGTGGCAGCGAGGAGCCAGCCGGGAAGAGAGGTTGAGTCACCCAGCCCTGAGGCAGCTGCCCCTGTGTGGGAGGCAGGTTCTGCAAAGCAAACAAGAGGACAGTGAAGGACAAAGCTGTGTGGTTTTTGTTTGTTTTTGGAAGCAACAGCCTCTCCTCCAGAAACGGTGGGACTGAACTTCATGCATGAGAGGGTCGTCCCCACTCCCAGGGCTTTCGGACGAGGGCTGAAGGTCACGGCGGTGTGGTGCTCTCTGGGGAAAAGGATGGTGGTGCAGGAGGTATCACGGGCTCTTGTCATTCTCAACGGGGCAGGAAAGAGTCCAGGGGGGTTTGGGAAATGTAAATAAAGGGAAACTCAAAAATGGGAGGGAAATCAGCCAGGTCAGCTGCTCTGCCTGTGGCACAGTGGACCGGTCACAGCCTGTGTGCCTCATTCCCAGGCTGTCCTGGGCACAGGAGGGAGCCCTGGATGCGGACCCTTCCCGTTCCATCCGCCCCACCTGCCTCGGCCGCCTAAGGGCCCTTTAGCTTGTACTTCTTAACACTCCCGTGTCCAGCCTCACAGTCTTTTCAAGGCCAGGGGACCAGCGTGACGCTGGCCCCAAGGGAGATTTTTATACCTCAAACACTGGCCTTTGGGCCCACTTCCAAGTCAGCGGAGAGCCCCCAAGAGAAGCCATCTTGCTCATGGGAAATGAACCGAGAGGTGACCTTGCAGGTGGTCCCTGACCTTGTGTTTGCAGCGCCATCTTGCTCATGGGAAATGAACCTTGGTGCTCTCGGTGACCTTGCAGGTGGTCCCTGACCTTGTGTTTGCAGCAGGGTGCACAGGTGAGCAGGGCCTCTTGCTGGGATACGCCCCCTCAGCTCGGTTCCACCCTTGAAGCCACGCCCTCGAGGAGGAAGGGGTGGCCCCTCTCGGGGAGTGGCTAGTCGGCTCTCATGCCCAGCTGTGTGCAGGGAGGGAGAAAAGGACCCTAAGATAGAAATCTCTTGACTGTTCCTGAAAGTTCTGTTTAAGTCAAGCCAATATTTTTGTGTGAGGATGAGAACAGGGGAAAAGAGGCACCCACGCTGGAAGTGGGGGAGCCTCTGTCTCCTTCCCGTGGGTGTGAGGGGCACTTACCACAATGTTGAGGGACCACGATGACCCTTGGACAGATCCCAGGAGCTGGGAGTGGAGTTACAGAGAGAGGCTGCGTGGAAGAGCAGGACTGGGAAAATCGGAACCTGTCTGTCACCTCAGGGCATCGCTGAACAAACCTGCTGAGGTGGGGCCTGCACAGGAGGCCAGGCTGGGAGGTGATGGACCAGGCGGCCCCCTGTGCCTGGGAATCAGCCCTGTTCTCGCTGCACTGTGAGCTCCTCCAGGAGACAATTATTTAAGTTATAACGTCTTGCTGGTTCTATGACGACTGCCAGAGCATGTTATTTTTTGTTACTGTCTGTGGGTGTGATTGCTATTGTTATTTATTATTGTGACTATATTATTGTGACTATAGTCTGCCTCGACCCAAGAATCTCAGCAGGACCTGGCAGCCTGTGTCCCTCCCGCCACCAGGCTCTACCTCGGGACGTGCTGGGAACCTCTTGGCACCGGTCAGGGACTCCTCACTATTGAAATATTTATTTATTGTTGACAACTGGAGCTGGTTTCCGAGATACAGATGATGTACTCAATCCCCGTGTTTCCTGTTGCAGCATGTTATATTCTTGTAAAATAAAAATAAAACCCCAACGTGAGATCCTGTCTCCATGGGCTGTGTGTGTGGTCAGGGGACGTGGGGCGAGAGAGTCCTGTGGAGGAACTGGCCTCCGCCAGTCCCACAAGGACAGAGGGATGAGCTTCCCTGTCACAGGTGATGAAAGACCCATGTTTGGCTGGGAACTGGTGGAAGGGAAGAGAGGGCGACAGGGACTAAGGGTGGAGCCCATCCATCATGGTGGACCCAACTTGTGTTGGGCTGTTAGGTCATGTTGGTGGGACTCGGCTTAGCCTGCTGTCATTTCAGAGCCCATGTGACTTTGTCCTCTGAATAGAGACAGCACAGCCATGACCAGTTCTGCCTGTACCAGCACAAGGGCTGCTCCCCTTGGTCCAGTAGCTAGACATTATCAGGAGGTAATCATTTTTACTTTTGCCCATTTCCCGCTTCATGAGTATCTTATAAGTTCATACACCTTCAAAGTCGTATTCTGGAGTCATTTCACTGACGTCTCTGCGATGAGCTAGAGCAGTAGTCGGCAAACTCATTAGTCAGCAGAGCCAAATATCAACAGTACAACGATTGACATTTCTTTTGAGAGCCAAATTTTTTAAACTTAAACTATATAGGTAGGTACATTGTTATTAACTTAATTAGGGTGCTCCTAAGCTGGCCTTTGCCAAAAACGTCCTCAATCTGATTGAGGTACGTTCGCTGAGGTCGACCCCTTCCAGCTTTCCCATCCACACTTGTCTTGTATACTTGTTTCGTCTATCTCCTTTTGTTCATCCTCTCTATATGTCCAAACCATCTCAACATACCTTTCTCAATCCTCGACACTACATCTTCTTTCACTCCACAACGTTCCCTGTATGTGCGTGCCCGCACGTGATATTTTGTGGAAGAGCCACACTCAAGGGACCAAAGAGCCGCATGTGGCTCACGAGCCGCGGTTTGCCGACCACTGAGCTAGGAGAAGCCACTCTGTATGTGTGACTGCTCCACTCCAGGGCTGAGGGAATAATGGGTGAGTGGGGCTTGAGAACTTTGGGGGGAGGTTTGCAAGGATCCAAATCTGTTCTCCTTTCTCACCTATGGATCTCTAATTCTTTCTCTCATTACCACTATTTTTTAAAAAACATTCTTCCCTATGTTGAATTGTCTGTTTCTATACGGATCTGGACCTTATGTTCACTTTTATTGCTCCCCTGCTGTCAGCCTGAGTAAAGTGACCAGACTTCAGGTACATTAGGTAGAAAACCCCAGGAATCACACGCTAAGCCCAGATCTAAGAGGCGATGGATTCTGTGGGTGATGCCTGAGGGATTCTGAATGTAAGAGCCTGGGAAAAGAAGAAGGGAACAAACATTGTGGGGGATCCCTGGTCTCATTTAGTCCTTAGAGCAGCTCCGTGAGGTTAAGTAGGACTACCCATCACACAGATGAGGAAATGAAATCTCCAGAGGGAGGAAACGTGCCCAGGGCAGCTGGCCTGAGTGAGAGTAGAATTTACAATAATATGGGTGCCCAGGTGGGTGAGGGAGCTTGGACTCTGGGCTTACATTAGCTTCTCTGAGTCCCAGTTCCATCATCAGCAGGACGGTTAGGGAGTAACTGGGACAGTGAAGCAATGAGTGGCAGGCCCCCAAGTCAGTGCTCAATAAATGTTTATTTTCCACTCATTTCCCTCAAGAAGATAGGGGATTTGGAGTAAGGTGGTAAGGATCAAGCTGGAGGCTGTGACCTGAAAGGCTGAGAGGTGAGCAGCATGATCTTGGACATCAAATTGGTCACCGGCCTCCAGAGAAGAGCTACCACTTTTCTCTAGAGTAGCAGTTCTCAACCTGTGGGTCGTGACCCCTTTGGGGGTCGAACGACCCTTTCACAGGGGTCGCCTAAGACCATCGGAAAACACATATAATTACATATTGTTTTTTTGTGATTAATCACTATGCTTTAATTATGTTCAATTTGTAACAATGAAATTGGGGGTCACCACAACATGAACTGTATTAAAGGGTCGCAGCATTAGGAAGGTTGAGAACCACTGCTCTAGAGGGTATAAAAGCCCTGGCTGCACAGGCTACGCCTTCCAGAGGGAGTGCCTGTGTGCCAGATTACCCTCCCTTCGCTCCCTGCTCACTCCTTTCTTGGCTCCACCCCCCTGGCTCAGTGACTGTGACCAGAGGAATTTTTTTCTGCTGGCAGCAGTATTTAAGATTAGGTGCTGACAGGAAGTAACAGAGGCGGCGTCGGAGTTTAGAAGGTAAGATGAGCAGGAGGGGGAGAGCTGGAAAAGACTGAGAAGTTCTTTTCTTTGAAGGATTCCCTGGGCTTTGGGGATTTGGAGGTGAAAAGGGTGTGGGACTTTGGGAGAGAAAGGAGAGGCAGCAAGAGGCATCCCAGGGCCCTTGAGTCCTGAGCCTTCCTGAGAATGCCAAGGTTCTGCCACAATCCACACATTATTTACTCAAGTCGGCTCTGTTTACCAGGCACCTCTGGTCAAACGGGGAAAATGAAACTGAAAGCAGGAAATTCCCTCACCCTGCTTTTGTTGGGATGATCTATCCTCCACTCGGATATTTCACTCAGGGTTTCTTTCCTTCTCTGCTCCTTTCCTGAGACTGGCCCCTCTGAGCTGTAACAGACACATTTGGATCAATGGTTTCATTGCTGGGTGTTGTGCTCAGGCAGCACCGTTGATTTGGACCTCAGAAGGTGGAGACTTGGAGACAGTGCTGAGATCGCTGAAAAATGGTGGCTGTGTGAATTTGGGAGATGCAGTAAATATCCAGATAACACTTTGGTGCAATCTGATGCTTAAATTGGATGTCACTTGCTCTGAACTGATTGAGGGCAGTTGGACTAAACTGACACTCCCAGGTCCGATTTGTGTAGTATGTTTGTGCAGATGGGTGGGGAGAATAGGATGCGTTGACATGTTCTAAAATATTGCCATTGTCTGTTTCTGGGTAATGGGATTATAGAGTAATAGTTTCCATTATTTGACTTTATATATGTATATGTATAATATTATGTAATACATCCTATATAATAAAAGGGTAATAGGCAAATTATCCCCTGGACAGGGAGTTCAACCAGAGTTCAACCAGGGGGCAGGGCCGG